AAAAAATCTGATATAATCCTGGTAAAAGCGCAAATGTGAATACCTTGTTTCTGAATCCGAAGCTTGGTTTATCATGCGTAATAAGCCCTCTGTAGTTAAGAGACTTTCCATAGATTTTCCTTCAACATGATACTTGATAAAAATTAGAAGATTTATTATGACTAACGACAAACCCTCCAAATTCGTCTTCAAATCGGATTCACTTGCGGGCATAGCTTCCAAAGCGGCCAGTTCGACCATTGCCATGCGTAAACAGGCGACATCGTGATTTTGTGCTTGTTGAACACATTCGCTAAGGAGTAGACGCGCAGCATGTCTAAGGGAGAACGGAAGATTTCGGTGCCACAGCTAATTAGATGAAGATACTCACTTGTCACCGAATAATCTACAAAGTCTTGCTTGAAGAAGGCACGAAAACCTCAGAGATCTCTGGTCAAGTGTTCCCATCCGACATGCGCGAGTGGTAGTAGGGATCACTACGTCGCTCATTCTGTGAACATTTGCAGCATTTCACCTCAACAAGAAATATAGCAACCTACCGAAACATAGAATAATCGAAGTATAATCGAAGACACTCCAAAGCTCCACTAAGATTCATGGCACGAATATGATAGAGCATTTCAAGAAGGTGCTAGAACGGTATAAAGTATGTACAGAATAAAAATGAATGATTAAATTGTTGAAACTTACCACTTCAACAACATCAGCATGGTTCTTTTTGATGATCTGGCACCATTCCATGATCTTATTGTCCGGTAGAGCAGCAGAGGGACACACCTAGAGCAAAAAGAATTAAACAAAAATATTTTCAGAGCTCAGGTGAAGTTGAATGTTGCTGAAAATTGCAAAGAGCGCAAAGGTGCTGTATAATAGACATTGCTGAAAGTAACATAGTTTTGATGCAATTCGGCTGGTATTTGTTTAATGCCGGATTTGTTTAGGACACGCAAAGACCAAAAAAGATAACAAAATAGGACAAGGAAGGTAACACATAGTGATGATGGTATGTCATAAAGTGTACGAACCTGTAGGAGGTGCATCTGATTTGAGATCCATTTTCGTGCTCGCCCAGATGATTCAATCTCAAACGGCACAGCAGCTTTACTGACAACCGGGAAATCGATGATACCCCTGGAAAAGATCAATCATATGCATTTTTTACAAACCTTCACTAAACAAACTCACGACTCTGCTTCACAAATCATTTGAGAGTCATCAATCTGCGCATCAGTGTCTTGTATCCATTTTATAAACTCAGCATTTAGATCGAAAAGACGCTGAGACGATTGCCGACTCCATTCGGCAAATAACTTAAGCAAAGTATGTGAATGAACTATCAGAATGGATTATGACTACCTTTTTCAGCCAGATTCCTATATAAGACTTTCCACAAACAAAATTAACGACATTTGGCCGAGTCTGAAGCATAACATCGATCTGAACCATGATATCATCGCCGGAGAGGTAGGAGTTGACACTACAATAAAGA